ATGAAATGAAAACATTCCAGTGAATATGGAAAAAATGGAGGTAGGTTCTGAGGAAATTGTGTAATATTCTGAATAAACACAACTGGGGGGGAGGGGGGATTATTCTGCTAGGTGACATAAGGAAACAGGATGTGAAAGCTGCCTGGAACAGTGTGATGAGAATTATTTATTTCACATTTCTATCCTGCTGAAATCAAAAAATTCTTGGCAGCTTAATTACAGAGTGCCACAGAGATGTGTGGAGTTACACTAATGAGAAGTATGAAAAAAGATGCTTGGTGGAATGATGAACTGAAAAGAGGCTGTATATGAGGGAAAAAAATGCATGTAAGAGAATGACTATGAGAAAAATATATGGTGCAATGTATATATTTTAGTCAAAGCAAAGAACAGTTAAGAGGAAAGGAAAATGCAGAGCAATTTTGATGGACATAAAATTGTTCTGAAAGTGGGTAAAGAAGGCTAAACAAGGAGCTTCCAGAAGAGTAAACAGAATTAAAAATAAAAGTGGTAAAATGATTTTGGATGAAACTAAAGTGAGGAAATGCTGGAAGGAGTATTTTAGAGATTCATCTGGAATCAGTGATTTGTCAAAAGTAGAAATGAAATGAAAGCTATATATGTACATGACTAAGAAAAAATTGATGCTAAGGAACCACAAATGCTATAAGAATACTGAAAAATGTAGATGGTGTAAGTGGAGTAATGTTAAAATGTGGATGTGGTTTGCTTACAGAGGGGTTGTGCAACTTGTTTAATGTGCACCTCTATGTGAAGAACATATCAATGATTGTTGTAAGAATGCCAGTATTGTTTCCTTTTACAAAGGAAAAGTAACAAGAATGAATGCAAAAAATATAGAGATATTAGTTGTTAAATATATCTACAAAGATCTTTTATACAATTCTAATCAAAAGGATACAAGAGGTGACAATATCTGAAAATTAATAACTACAGTGCAGCCTTATGCCAGGCAGAGGATGTACAAACCACATTTTTACTTTTCAGCAGGTCACTGAGAAATGTTACATGACTATGAAAATGAATATTGGTTGCTGAATGCAATAAAAGCAACCTATAATGGAAATAAAACATGCACACAAAGAAATGGAATACATAGCAAATGGTTCAACATTGAGCGGGGAGTAAGATAAGAATGTGTGAGGTCTCCTTGGTTGTTAAACGAATTTATAAATAAATGTATACAGAAAGCTAGTTCTAAAGGTAGAGATATGTTTATTGGAGATGTGACTGTACATATACTTTTATATGCAGAAGATGCCTTATTGCTGCCTGAGAACCCAAATAATTTGCAGAGAACGTTAAACTGATTGTATGATGTAACAAGGTTTATGAATCTCATAATTAATGTATCAAAGACCAAGGTTGTTATGTTTGACAGGGAAAATGTATTGAATTATTGCAAGTTATATATAAATAGTGAAAAAAAAACAGTGCAAGTCCTCCAACCCTGATGATACATCTGCTTTCACAGTAGGACCGTGTATATTTCAGAAATAATTTGGAAGAGTGCCTTCAAACTTGAGTACAGTGCCTCTCTGCTTTCATTAATGCAGTCCAGCTTTTTTCAGACTTTTATATGAGCTTGAAAAAATGGTGGTGGTGCTTTAAGAGTTGCATTACCTTTTATTGAGTATATTCTTTAAAGCAGCAGCATCTTTGGGGGGAGACCATGCAGAAGCCTGAAAAGTTGGGATGCTTTAATGAATATTATAAAGTACTGCACTTTATTTCTCTCTCTCATTTAGGATCTCCTAGGACCCCAGGTCATCTCCATCACTCCATGACATGTTTAATATATACATGGTAGTTTCAGTGTCTTACTTTAAATATTGGGGCTTCTTTTGGGTTTGGATTCAACACTGTATTGTATCAAAGTCCAGGTTTTCCTTGGTAATCTTCTTTTCTTTCTCTTACCAGAAAAGTTGGGATGTGTTAATGAATATTATAAAGTACTGTACTTGCATGAGATCCAAAGCACTCTTTCCAAATAATTTTCAAAGTGTACCCTAATGGATATGCTGTTTTGTCTACAATTAGCTTCTAATAGTATAGCATAGCATACCAGTTGTCAAAGAATGACTGAAGTACTAAATTTTGGGGAAGGAGGAGAGAAAACATGGCTAGAAAATTAAGACAAGGTGGTGCACAGTCAAATACAGCCAAAGGAGGAGCAGAGTTAATTGCTCTTCACTTTAGTCAATGAAAGATAAATAATGAGATTAAGATGCAGCTGAAAGAACCCAGGTTAGAAACGAGGAAAACACACTGTCACTATAGGATCAAATCAGGCCAACAGATCTGTTGCCAAAGGAATAATCATTACAGACATAATTTGAAATATGAGCAGTGCTCTATAAAATGGGCTAGATGTGAAGCTGAGTTCTGTTCTTTAAGACACAAAAGCTATAACTTGTACAAACTGTGATATGTAATACTGGCTCTCATAATAAAGCCCTCAAACTCAACATAGTGTGTGTGTGTGTGTGTGTGTGTTTGTGTGTGTAGGTAGGTAGGTAGGTAGGTAGGTAGGTAGGTAGGTAGGTAGGTAGATAGATAGATAGATAGATAGATAGATAGATAGATAGATAGATAGATATCCCTGCAAAATTAGCATAGGATCCTATTCATAATGTCTAGAGTTTTTTTCCTCCTGCCCTCAACTTTGTCACTTAATATCCAGACTGAAAAACAGTTGTAAAGAACCTGAATGTTTACTTATTACTTTGCAACATTTTAATTAGATCTGGGAAAAATTTGACTCCACTATGAATTATGCTCCCTGAAACTTTGATCCTTAGAGAAAATATACTAATGTTTGGATTTTAGACTAGTATCCCAAACTACAACAACAGTTCCAGAATTCCGGCCAACATGGCCATTGGAAGTTCTGGGATTTGTAGCCTGAATGGCACCAACTGGATAGGCTGATCTGTTCTGAGAAAGTGAGTTTTTGCAGAGAAATGTGTTTCTTTATTTAGTAAAATACAGAGCAGGTAAGATTAAGACTACAGGTCATTCTGTCCATCTCTCTTCTGTAAGCTTTGTTCCCCAAAGGCAAATCACACACACTAACACTGAAGAAAGATGGCAATGGTGTGGATTTTGACTCCCCAAATTTCCTAGGTATCATGCCCATTATTGAGAACTCTGGTTCTTGGGGTCCTCATGTATGGAGAACATCAAAGTTGAGGGAAACTCAACTCTTAGGTGCCATACTTTGTGGTATCCAAACTGCAATTTGGTTGGTTGCAGTTTGCAGGATCAAAAACAAAAATGGGCATGCTTCTCAAAGAACCTTACTTATCATAATACACATTCATACCCCAAACTCCTGGCTCTGAAAAATCATCAGATTAGATGAAGGGAGAAATCCTGAATATGAAGCTCCATCCTAATATGGCCAAGCCAAACATATATATATCTCCAATAGCCTGGCGATATGTATGTTTGACACTCCATCATGGTACGTGCTTGGGAATGGGTGAAGTGAGGAGGTATAATAGGCTAATGACTGTGCACCCTCTTCACAAAGGAGCAAAAAGCTGTTGGGTCCAACTGTCCAAGTCTCACTCATGTATGGAATAATTACCTCCCTTCATATTCCAAAGAACACCAGGAAGCAGAAACTCAATTTGACTTGGAGTAAAATTTACATGAATATCCTTCAGCCTCACACCAATCAGTTTCTGTATCATTAAAAAACTGCAGCTGAATCTCTTAGATCCTTCCTCATCACCAAATTTCTTACCTGAGTAACTTCATTACCACTAATTTTCTCTCATTTAGGATCTCCTAGGACCCCAGGTCATCTCCATCACTCCATGTCATGTTTAATATATACATGGTAGTTTCAGTGCCTTACTTTAAGTATTGGGGCTTCTTTTGGGTTTGGATTCAACACTGCATTATATTAAAGTCCAGGTTTTCCTTGGTAATTTTCTTTTCTTTCTCTTACCAGAAAAGAGGAGTACTGTGAATATTTTAAACTTTACCTATAAGTTGCTGATTCTCACATGTGAAACATCAGAACTTCTTAAGAACTCATAACCCCTGGAGCTGAGGACAATGTAACAGTCGAGGCATGGTCTAGAAAAAAGGAAGGGCTGACTCGTAGCTTTTCTTTCAGGTTCCTTTGCCTGGAAAATCAGGGCAATTACTTGCCTTGCTTAAGAGGAAAAGCTACACTGCCACAGATTCTTCTGCTGAAATGTAACTCTAAAAAGTGGGCAACAGCTTTCCACCTATGGGTCAGGGACTGTTCCAGCTAGATACTGTCAAGGTGGTCTGGGCAGTTGAAAGTGGAACTGTAAAGAAAGAGCCCTGGTATCTCCTCCCCCCCCCCCTTTTTTTGCTTGTGGTTGTCAGTCTGTATTCTGTACCAGTGGTA